AAGTAACCTCAGGAAAATCAAAAAGTTTTAATAAACCTAGCAGTAATCCCAAAGAAACGGTAAAATAGCAATGAAAATGAATACTGCATTTTTCGTTCGCATATTGTGGCCTTCTTCAGCAAACTAAAACGTGACACCTAAGGTGGCAGTTCGACTTCATTTTCTTTTGTATACTATGTTAAGTGGCAGGCGTGAAGACTTCGTGTAAGGTAGCGTAGTTGTAACTTAAGTGACCCGGTGACTCTGTCGACCCTGTGATCTTCAGAGGTAACCTTCTGACCTGGCGGGGAGTAAAATGATCTACTGTCTCCTGTGTCACTGGCTGAGTGTACACAAACACATCACATTGGAGAGACGAGACGTGGCTTTCGGGTTGCTGCGCTACTGATGCCAGATGAAATGCATATTGTGATTACTAGTGTCGTAAACCTTACGTTACTGACTCTAAGTCTTACGTTACTTTCGTAAACATTTACAAAAGATGTTTTCGTCGTACATGGATTAGATTAAGCTGAACTATTTATAACGTGAAGCCTATGCGTTGTAGATATAAATATACGTTGATCTGACCAGTTGCCTTGGTGAAGAATGAGACACTTGTTGAGCATTTGGGAATCTTTATTGAGGAAACGCTTTGCCAGCCAGTGGCTGCTTCAGTCCAGTACAGAGAAGATCGGTAGATGAGGAGTTTGAGATCATCAGTCCCTCAGCCTGTAGTCGATGTGTTCAATCAAACTAATGGTTGGCGAAACGTTTCCTCAGTAAAAAAATTTCCAAATGTTGCACAAGCGTCTCATTCTTCAACTTTTTTGGGTTTCTAAACCATTTATATCACAGTTGCCTTGATAAATAGATGCAGAGATGCTGGCCAGCACCCATGGGAGGACTGCAGCATCCTGGCTCATCCTTCATATTTTTGTAGTGCATAATGTATAATCACATTGTATGCTGACGTCAAATCATAATACCAACCTGTGTACGTTGCACTGAATTTCACTTTTCCTTGTGAGACCTCGACACTCTCCGGTGTAATAAACCGACATATAGACCGGTGTGATATATTAAAATGTTCTCAGATGTGAAAAAAAAATGTTAAGTTAGGTTGCACGAAGAGGAATATTCATGGGTGGCAGCTCCCGTTAAAGTTGTCTGGTGTATCTTGGGCCTTGAAAGTTAGACGAATGCATCTCTTATCTTATTAATCTTGAAGGTCGGCGCTACCCTGAAAAGATCCCGTCAGTTGACAGGACAACACCATCAGTTTGCTAGACTCCGCCTGGCTTCACAACACTTGGAAGATTTGCTTGCTAGCTTCTATATTATTGCCGCTAATGACAGCTAGTTTATTTTATTGATGAATGAGACACATGTGCAACACTTGGGTATCTACTGCCGAAACATTTCGCCTGCAAAACGAGCTTCTTTTGTCGAATACAATATTCGTCTGAAGAAGCAGTAGATATCCAAACGTTGCACATGTATTATCCAAAAGTTTATTGTGCATTCTATGCTTAACCTCTCAGCTAAGCAGCAATCAACTAGCAGTATAACCAGTCAACCAGCCAAACGACCATACAACCACTGGTACGTCGTAGTTTGCGCTGCCTTTGTGCTGGCCAGGGGAGAGTCCTTATCTTGACGGCTGTGTCTTCACACTACCCTGTCTCCTGTTTTATTATCATTTTCAACCCTCCTATGTTGCCTTTACTCCAGGAGTCAGTGAAGGAGGGTGTCCACTGACTCCACTCAGGATCTTTCACCATTTATGTTATTCGTCAAACCTCGGGAAATATTGAATCATTTTAGAAACATTGCTGTTGTTAGCTGTTCATCATAAAAAAGACTGACACTGGTCTTTTGTTATAAAATGATTCGTTCATTGGGGAATTATGGCGGGACGCTACAAGACCGTGTTTCTTTGTTTTTTATTAAACTAAATCAGCATTGAAAAATGGCACGGTGATACCGACTCGTGTGAAAAAAGACGTTGATGCACATTTAATTCTTAGTTATTTGGACTGAAGACGCCATTCATGGCGAAACGTTAATTTTAATAAATGTCCTGAACTGTACTCGTGTCTTTTTTTTTTCCAAAATGTAACACTATGTGATACATATTGGAAAGAAAAACTAGCTGTGTTTCCTTTTAATTTTCCATCACAAAGCTGTGAAAATTCAGTAAGGCAATGTTGATATTTAGCATTCAGTAAACACTACCTAGCTACGTGAACTTCACTTCACTTTTTTTTTTTCAATCCAGTAGAGCTGGAGTTATTATTACTTTGGAATTACCATCTCTCAGTATGGTCGAGACTTCTCGTGTCTTATTAACAACAAGTGAAAGTCGGGCAACCATTAACACTACCTAAGGTCGATCATAGTATCAGCGACCTCTGGTTTACCCGTGCTGGAGTCACTACTCTGAGAACAGCTTCCCTGGTGAATAATATTTTTTGTTTCAGTTTAACATTTTTTTTTTTTTTGCAGAAATGGGTGATATTTAGGTGTGCATGCAGGAACATTTCGGGCATATTAATTATGTTATACAACCGACAAGTTGATGAATTGAATATGTGTAATATACTTGGAAATATTTATTGCCGAATTAAAGCCATTGAAGGCATATCTTGAAGAGACTTTTCGTTCCTGGCGGGCGAAACGTCTCCTCAAGATTCCCAGGTGTTGCACACGTCTTCTCATTAACTGTGTTATCGATTTGATGCATCTTTGATCTAGTTTATTAACAGCTTTCGTCTCCTAAGACAAAATCCTTTTTTTTCGAATCAGACTGTACGGTAGATATTTAATATTTCGTAACACAAGCTGTTATAGAGACAAATGGTATAAAATATGACACGATGAAAAAAATAGATGCAATGTAATGCGATCCTTTATTGACTACGTTTCGCCCACACAGTGGTTAACCTTCCTAACATTCTCAACACCGCCTCGTACTCTTAGCTCAGGTAGATCTGTTTGTGATTTGATAAAGCCCACTGTGTATGAGCGAAACGTTGTTAGTAAAGGATCCCATTACAATACATTTGTGTCTTTTCCTACAGGCTGTTATAAAAGTATCAAACTTATGAAACACGTCTTGTGTGGAAGGGATATCGTAACATTATGTCGCAGTGAAAAGAGTGAATAAAACATTGATGTTAAAAGAAGTTCCCATTGAGTCTATCATCTCAGCTGTGTAAACAACGTATACACTAGTCTTTGATGTTGAACGAGTCCGGAAACTTTAGTGAGCAGGAAGTTGAGACGACACGTACATGTATTCCCTGATGTGGACGATGTGTACCTCAAAATGGAATACAATACCGACAGGTTGTAGGTAAGACACATATGCAACAGTTAGACAACTTTATTCCGAAACGTTTCGCCTACACAGTAGGCTTCTTCAGTCGAATACAGAAAATAGGCAGGAACAGTAGAGATGTGAAGTCGATGTAATCAGTCCATCACCCTTGTAGTCGTAGAATTTGAGGTTGTCAGTCCCTCGGCCTGGAGAAGTTCAGTTCCATAGTCAGGAACTATCTGAAGATCAAGCGACAGTGCGGAGACTTAAATACTGTCGGAAGGAGAGGTGCAGAGTAGTAGTAGTAGTAGTAGTAGTGAGAATGTAACCACTGAGACGTCATGTCCGTCTCAGATCCAACCCTTCTCACTTGAAAAGCTTGTCCAAGGTGTTTTCTGTACCAAGATGCCACGTGTTGCAGTGTCTGACAAGATGAACATCAAAATGG